GTCCTAAAGGAAAACAACCTCCAACCCAGATTGATGTACCCTGCAAAACTATGTTTCAAAATTGATGGAAAAATAAGATACTTTCATGACAAAGAGCACCTTAGGAAATTCATGAATACCAAACCAGCACTCCAACTAATTCTAAACAATATCCTAGGAATAGACAATGAGGATAACAACCTCAGGAAACTGAGCAGAATGAATTCATCAGAGATGACAAGAAATTACATGTAAAGGGGGAGAAAAAGTCATGACAAAGATAAGTCAATATATATTAGTTATAACCATCAATGTTAATCAAAAGAAATAGACTGGCAGAATGGGTCAAGAAGCAAGATCTAACAATATGCCGCATACAAGAAACACAACTCAAAAAGAGACTCAGAGACTGAAAGTTAAAGCATGAAAAACAATACTCCGTGCAACAAGAAGCTACCCCCCAAAGCAGGAGTAGCTATCCTTTTTGCAGATCAGGTGGATTTCAAACCAACACTGATTAAGGGAAACAAAGAAGGATACTATATCCTTGTACAGAGAGCAATCCAAGAGGAAGAGATGACAATCATAAATATATATGCACCAAACACTAGTGCACCCAACTACATAAAACTAATACTAACAGGCATGAAAAATCAAGTAAGCACTAATACAATAGTATTAGCGGACCTCAATACCTCACTGTCATAAATAGAAAAGAAATAGGCACAAATAGAAAAGAAATAGGCCCATAATAGAAAAGAAAAGGCCCAAATCCATGCAATTAGAAATGAAAAGGTTAAAATTACAACAGACCCAGCAGAAATCCAGAGAATCATCAAGACCTACTTCAAGAACCTATACTCAATAAGATGGAAAATACAGAGGAAATGGACAGTTTCCTAGATACATATGAATTACCAAAATTAAACAAAGACGAATTAAAAATTCTAAATGGCCCAATATCAGTGAAATTGAAAATGTAATTAAAAGAGAGTAACTACTGCCACTACTGTTTAAACTCTTCAGTGAAATTGAAAGGGAAGCAACACTCCTGAATCCATTCCTGGAAGCAAGCATCACCTTGATCCCTAAAGCAGAGAAAGACCCAACAGAAAAACAGAACTATAGGCCAATCTCACTAGGGGACATAGATGTAAAAATTCTTAATAAGATACTAGCAAATAGAATGCAGAAGATCATTAAGAAGATCATATACCCTGACCAAATGGGATTCATCCCAGAGATGTAGGGATGGTTCAACATACATAAATCAATAAATGTAAGACACTATATTAATAGAGTGAAGGACAAAGACATTTTGGTTCATCTCAATAGATGTAGAAGAAGCATTCAACAAAATCTAACATGCATTTATGATAAAAACCCTCCAAAAATTGAAATAAACAATCTCTACCTCAATCTGATAAAAGCCACCTATGAAAAACCAACAGTCAATATCATACTAAATGGTCAAAAACTGAAATCTTTCACACTAAACTCAGGAACAAGACGAGGCTCTCCACTATCACCACTCCTGCTCAATATAGTTTTGGAAACTTTAGCCACAGAAATTAGACAAGAGAAATAAAAGGAATAAAGAGAAAACAAAGAAGTCAAAAGATGGCATTATATTCTATATAAAAGACCCCAAGAACTCCACCGAAAGCCTTCTAGATTTAATAACAAAATTCAGTAAAGTAGCTGCATACATGGCCAACACACAAAAATCAATAGCTTTTCTGTATATGAAAAACAGATGCAGAGAGAAATGTGGCAATCAATTCCTTTCACAATAGTATCCAAAAACATGGAAATACCTAAGAATCAACCTAAAAAAAGAAATCAAAGAGCTATACTCTGAAAGAGTCTACAGACTATGAAAAAAGATTGAAGAGGATATCAGAAAATGGAAAGACATGCCTTGCTCCTGGGTAGGAAGAATCAACATAATGAAAACAACCATACTTCCAAAACTGCTATATACATTCAAAGCAATCTCAATTGAAATCCCAGCAGCATACTTCACAGACCTTGAGAAAACCAAAAATTCATTTGGAACAAGAAGAGACTTAGAATAGCAAAAGCAATTCTAGGCAATAAAGACAAGATAGGGGTTATCACAATCCCCAATTTGAGACTCCATTACAAAGCCACTGTGATACAAAAAACAAAACAAACAAACAAAAAACAGCATTGTACTGGCAAAGAAACAGACCCAGTGGTCAGTGGAACATATTAGAAGATGCAGAAACAAATCCAGAATCACTCAGCCACCCAATCTTCAACAAAGGTGATAAATACCCTCACCGGAGGAAAGATAGCCTCTTTACTAGATGGCTCTAAAAAAACTTGGTTTCAACTTGCCAAAGATTGAAACTAGACCTATATGTCTCACCATGCATTAAACTAAAATCTAAATGGATCAAAGATCTAAATATTAAAGCAGAAACTGGCTGGAAGAGAGCTTAGGTAGAACTCTTGACAACATTGGTGTAGGAAAAGAATTTATACACAAAACCTCAGTTGTCCATGAGGTAACACAATCAACAAGTGGGATGTCTTCTTATTAAAAAGCTTCTGCACAGCAAAAGAAACCACCAACAGTGTGAGAGACAACCCACAATATGGGAAAAACTTTTTACCAGCTGTTCCTCAGACAAAGGTATACTATCTAGAATATATAAAGAATTTTTTAAAAACTCAGACCTTCCAAATTTAAAGACCCAATCCAAAAATGGGCATCTGAAAGGAACAGACATTTCTCAGACAAAGAAGTAGAAATAGCAAATAAACATATGAAAAAAATGTTCAACATCACTGGTCGTTCAAGAGATGCAAAAGAAAACCACACTGAGACTCCACCTCACCCCAGAAAGAATGGCTGCCATCATGAAATCAAGCCAATAACAAATGCTGGCCAGGCTGTGAAGGAAGAGGAACACTGCTCCATTGCTGGTGTAGACTCGTGCAACCGCTGTGGAAATCAGTATGGAGATACCTCAAAGAACTAGGATTGGAAGTGCCATTTGATCCAGCTATTCTTCCTGCTGGGTATCTTCCCCCCAAAAAATAAAATAATCATACCACAGTGATATATGTGCACCCATGCACAATTTGTAATAGCTAAAATTTGGAAGCAGCCCAATTGCCCATCAACTAGAAACTGAATAAAGAAAATGTGATTTTTAAAATAAAATGGTGTACTACTCAGCCATAAAGTATGAGAAACTACACATATTTATAGCTAAATGGATACACATGGAGGTGATACTCAAGTGAAATAAATAGGACCCATGTATAGATATGGAATAGTTTCTCAAGTGTGAGAAAATAAACGTGTAAATAAGGACAAAAAGGTATAATAGATAATGCAAAATAGAAAGAAAAAGTGCAAAGGGGAGAGGAAATGGGAGAGGTAGGGGAAAAGAAAGAAGGAAGTGGAGTTAATAATGAGAAAAAGGAAAAAATGGAAACAAAGTCTTTATAGATAGGGAGGAGTGGAGGGGTTGAAGGGCAGGGAAAATAATGAATGTCATTATATTATATACCCTAAATGTATCAATAAAATTATTTTTTAGAAAAGAACTTTTTCATCTTTTTATGTAACTGTGTATTATTCCAAATTAATTATAGGCATGTACATACCATTATTTAGCCATTGTTTTATTGATAAGCATCTAAATGTTCTACCTTTTGAGGAAAGAGGATTAGAAAAACTGACATCCTTGTTTCTAGGATATAATAATTCCTTTTATATTTTTAATTTAAAAAGTTTAAATGTAATGGACTCAAAATATTAACTTTATTTTCATAGGTAATTTGTACCTTTCAAGTGAATTTGTCTTTCTTGACTATTATTTAGCACAGTTCATCAATTCTCAGTTTTTCAAGAACATTCCGTGAGAGTTTCTCTGTGTGTTTCTTTCTCCCTTTTCTACGCACTTCCTCCAGCAGCAAGTAGTGGGTGGTGCAGGATGCAGATGGAGCACGAGATGGTTGAAACCTCTGGATTGCTTCTTCCTGCATATGACCTGGACATGTCTTCCCCTTTTGGGGTCCAGAGACTGAGAATGTAGATTCCCACTTTTTTGTTTTGTTTTGTTTTTTTTAGTACTGGGGATCAAACTCAGGACCTCGTGCTTGTGAGGCAGGCGGTGGAACCACTGAGCCAAATACCAGCCCACCCACTTACTTTTACATGTTCGTTTGATTTTTTTTTTTTTCAATTCATCCATCAGGGACACTGAGTTCAAACCTCTGAGAATACCTAAACATGCTTTGGCATCTACTTAGAAGTCTCTCTGTCCTTCTCCAAATTGCTTTACTTTTTAAAAGTTATTTTACAACAGTTTGGTGACAGAAAAATTAAACAGAAAGTAGAGAGTGATCTTGTGTACCCCTACTGTATGTACCCTCTCGCCCTCCCCAACCCCAGCCCTCCTCACTATCAGTATCCTTGCACCAGAATAGTACAGTCGCTACGGTTGAACCTACATGGGCACATCATTATCATCCGGAGTCCATCATGTATCAGGGCTCTTTCTTGAACATTCTATGGGTGACATGTACTGACCATTACAGTATCACTGCCTTAAAAGTCCTCTGTGCTTCACCTATTCATCCCTTCCTCCCCAACCCCTGACAACCACTGATTTTAAAAAAAAAATCTCCCTAATTTTGTTCCCACACAAATCAAACAGTTTATTTAATCATGCTAAGGAAGAACCTTAAATACCAATTGCCAAAAAAAAAAAAAAAAATTCAGCCCTACACTGATAATGCCTTGACAGTTTTCACAACAGTCTTCAAAACACCCATTCCCCAACTGAGAGTTTGAAGTTTGGTGATCCACTCCAAGATGCTGTGTACGACTTCACGCATTATCGCTTTGGATTTCTTGATATCTTATCATGTTTTCCATCACCTATTGACAATTAATTCAGCTTCTTAGAAACATTTGAATAATAGTTTAGGAAAGTTTTCCCAATCACTTGCCATCTTCTAGGTTTTCAACAGTAAAAACATGTTACTTGTGCAAGTCGGAATCTAACACCAATTAAATGTTGACAGTTTTGCCAATAAACAAAAATATGCCATGGCTGACAAATGTCCCAAAGACATGAGATCCCTAGGGATGTTCACTCTGCCTTTTGCAGAATCCCACATAATTGAAAATATACTCTATGGTATCTTTTAAGATTTGAATATTTCATTTAGTGATATGTACTTAAGATACTTCTTTCTTGTGGCTTAAAAGCTCATTTCTCGTTAGTGCCGAATGGTCGTCCATTGTATGGATGCACCCACAGTTCACTAATCCACTCACAGAGGACATCTTGGTTGCTTCCAACAATAATTATCTGTCTACAGGTTTCTTTGTAGACATACATTTTCAACTCATTTGGGTAAATATCAATGGTAAAAATATGTTTAGTCTTGTAAGAAACCATCAAGTCATCTTCCAAAGACAATGGCTGTACCGATTTTGCACTCCCACAGCATAAAGGGAGGGTCACACCCTCAGCAGCATTTGGTGTTATTGTGTGTTGGGCTTTGGCCTTGCTAATAGATGTGCAGTGGCATCTCATTGTTGTAATTTTCAATTCCCTAAGGACACATGACGATGATCATTACTCTTTTAATTTTCTCATTTCATTTTTGTGGCTTTTGGTTTGTCTTACATACTCCTGTTGCCCATCCATTGTAAAAGTAATATTTACTTCCTAGAGAAACCATGAATGAAACAAAAATTTTAAATATAGAATCTAGATTTAGAGTTTTCATTTATATGTGTTGCCCAAGTGTGCAAGACTAGAGCTAGAAGTCATGTTGGTGGAAAGTATGTGCTCAGCAATAGTGTTCATGTTACATACCAGAATAGCTCTCAAAAATTTTGGTCTCTGGATTATTTCACTCTTCAAAATATTATTTAGGACCCCCCAAGAACTTTTTTTTGGAAGGCAGGTGGCAGCACCACCGAGCTAAGTCCCCAGATCCCAAGAACTTCTGTTTATGAAGAATAAATCTATTTTTACCACATGAGAAATTCAGAATACAAATGTAAGTATTTATTAATATATTAAATAATGTTAATAAACTCAGTACATGTTAATACAAATACAATTTTATGAAAAAGTCCATATTTTAAAAAAATCATCCTGAAGAATAACATTGTTTTACATTAAGGAAATCTTTTTATAATTCAGCTCATTTGAAGACTCTTTAATTCTCATATCTTCTTCTGAATTCAATCTGTTGTGATATTATTTTAGTTTAAGTGCCTGAAGAAAATTTAGCTTCTTACAGATGTGTTACTGAGAAAAAAATAATGTAGTTCTAGAAACCCCTGGAAAGTATGTTGGAGAGCCCATGGAATTTTTGGACCACACTTTGAGAACCACTGGCAGAATGGCATGTTATCTAGTTTGTACATTGTCATAGTCTTGGTTTGGCAATCAAGTTTCCACAAACATGACTTTCATTCAACAGCAAAGACTTTGGTGAAATGAAGGAATGAATTCTGGTGTAAGAAATGATATACTGGGCCAGGGATTTAGCTCAGTGGTTTGGTGGCCTGCCTTGCAAGCACAAGGACCGAGTTCAATCCCCAGTACCAAAAAAAAAGAAATGATATACTGAAATTTTCTGAAGTCCACAGAGCATTGATCACAAGACATGCTTATAACTATATCTCTTGCCTATGTGAACAATATGTTTTCCCAAAAATAAGACCTACCCAGAAAATAAGTTCTGGAGGATGTCTCCTCCAAAATCATGCTAGAACTTGTTTTCTAGGTAGGTCTTATTGTCAACAGCAGTGGTGGATAAGGAGAGACTAGAAATGGGGAAGTTGAGCTCTGTGGTAGTTAAACTTTATGTCAGTTTGATCAGCTTGGGAGCCAAGGAGGGGATTATTAAAGCACATTTCTGGGTGTTTCTGGGTTGTTTGTGGAGGCATGACCTTGAGCACTATATCTGGTCCTTCATCCCTTCATTGTTGGGTCTATTTCCCACCTCTGCTTCCAAGTCACCACGAAATAAGCAACTTCGTTTCACCATCCCCTTCTGCTATGATTAACCTTTCTTGGAGCCAGCTGACCATGGGCTGAATTCTCTGAGACTGTGAGCCAAATTAAACCTCTACTTCTTTAAGTTTTGGATGTTGGATGTTGCATCCCAGTGATGGGAAAACTGACTAGTACAGGTTCCATTTCCAGCCCTGTTGTATATACATTTATTTATGCAAATTAGAAAATGGCTTAAGCAGTCTACCATTCAGTTTCTTCAGCTATATTTATTTATTTATTTAGGTACTGGGGATCGAACTCAGGACTTTGTGCTTGCAAGGCAGGCAGCAGAACCACTGAGCTAAATCCCTGGCCCATCTTCATCTTTAAAATATTCCACTTCAAAGTGTTCTCATGAGGATTAATAAGATAAAGCACTTCAAGTTTTAGCATCATGCTTAGATGAAATGCTTCATAAATGTTAGTTCATAAATCAATAGAACCTGATTTCTCACTCTTATTAATATTGGATGAGCATGTTTCAAGTCAGCAGCAAGACTCTACAAAGAAATCAAGAACACAGACACATGTAATAGTTGGTAACAAGTGATTGTTTACAGTGAATTTTGAAAAAGAAGCCTACACAATAAGCCTTTATAACATCATCAGATTTTCTTTGAAAGGACACTGTCAATGACTGTATCTATAAATTTAGAGAAGAGATAAGAATTCAGGTGATTTTTCTGGATATTTTAGCCAATGTCCACAATTTTTCCCCCAAATACTGACACAGATAAAGAACTCTATGCCTAACTTGACCAATTCCACTTGTTTCCTCAATTCTGCATATTATTTCATATTTGGACTAGGCATACTTTAACTAGAGAAACACAACACTAGGAGAAGCAGATTTATTAACAAGACTTGATCTCCCACAGTCAATGAGGGCTCTGGTTAAATTGTAGCCTCTGAAAGGTGTTTGAATCATTCTTGCTGTTGAGAAATCCCCAAAGTAGTAGGTTCAGAAGGGAAGATCACTTTCAGGCTGGAACCCATACACATGAGGTTCACTTCCGTGACAACCAACTGAAACTGTGTCCATTCTGGTAGCCTCTTATCTGGGTGATGAAGTATCCTGCTAGAGCCAGGCCATTGTCTCTCCACGCTAACATGCTCAGCTGGTCCAGGTCAGTGATCCTGAAGAAGGACCTAAGGGGAAGGGAAAACAATTGCAGGCCCAACTTCTGCATCATTCCAAGGTGAGTTTTCAGGTCAGCAGCGACTTGTGTGAGCAACAACACAGTGTCGCTCCACTCCAGTGCTCTCCAGAACTATCTGTGAACCTTCAACATGACCCATATTAACTGGAAACACATGAGCAAGAGAAATCTGAGACAGGTGGTTAAGCCAAGACCATCTAAAACATATCAAAATCATCACAGCAAGTATGGGTTCAGAACTTGCACATGGTCAATTTTTATTAGTGTTCCATGTTGGCTTGAAATGTGAGCTCTGTAGTTGGGTGCACCATTCAATGTGTGTATATTCTATCAAGCTTGTTGACTGTGCTCTTCAAGTTTTCTGTGTCCTTACTGACATTTTGTTAGTGTGGTCTATTAGTTACCAAGAGGTAGAATTAAATTCAAATTGTTAGGATAGATTTGATTTGTTTATCTCCTTCAAGTGCTGTCAAATCTTTGCTTTCTCTATTTAGAGGCTATGATATTAAGTGAACAAAACTATTTTCATTATGTTCTTTCACTGTGTCTCTGGTAATATTTTTGCCTTGGGCCCTATTTACTCAGCAGATACAAACTCAGAACAAAAGAGAAGAGCCATGAAACTTGCATTTATTTTATTTTTTACATTTCCTGTTTTGAATTTGATTATAAGAAAGAAAAAACTCTTCTCTGTGAATTATTGTAAAGCTCTCTTACATGGTATGCACCTCAAATTCACTCTGCCTTGTGTGGTACAGACATTTAGTGGAAAACCATTTAAGTTTAGAAAGGTTTGGAGATGTGACCTAGGAAGTCCTAGAATGCTTCAAGTGGAGCTTAATGGATGATTCCATCAGGCACTCAGAAGACCAGAATGCTGATAGGAATGTGGAGGGTAGACACTGAGCTCATGAGTATCAGGTAGAAATGAGGACTACTATGGATTTGACTAAAGGCCATGTCTGTTAAATTCTGGTGAGGAATTTTTCCACATTTTATTCATATCCTGAGACTGTATAATTCTGAGTATAAAGGCAATGGGTTAGTTAATCTGGTGAAGGAAATTCTAAAGAAGCATTCAGGTAGTAACATGGGTACTGTGATTGTTTTTATCCAGGATTATGGTAAAAACCAGAGTAAAAAGATTGGAAAAACTTGTAGTTTGGCCAGAAAAGAGGACTGTGTAAAACTGGGGTCAGGAAGTTGTGGCTGAAGAGTTTAACACCATTAAAAGAAGACAAACTTACTTCAAAACAATAGAATAAATGGTTGAAGGCATCTCAAGAATTCTCCAGACCACATCCATCAAAGGCTCAAAAGTATACAGGTATAAACCTTTTGCAAGACTTGATTTTGAGAAATATCTGCTCACTAAGGTCTACCTAAGAAGTGTTTCCCTCAGGACTTATTCACTTATGCTCAGCCATGCTGGCATTCAGATGCTGCAGTGTATGAAGCAGGGATGGCTACTGCTCCAGCTGGCTGCAAACCTTGTCACCCATACAACACTGGTTTTGCTTATATGCACAATATGATTTACAGAGCCATGGATGCTTCCACCAGGATTTAGAAGGAAGGCCTGGGAGGCCAGACAACGTGTGATAAAGTTGAACTCCCTTCAGGCAGCTCCTGAGGGTGATGTGAGAAACTATGAGAGTGAAGATAAAGGTGCAGTGCAAATCTCCCCAAGGAGTTAAAGATGTCAGGGAAGTGGAGGCTCTACCAGAAGAGCCACAGACTGTGAGCAAAGCCAGACCAAAAGAGAAGTCTTACCAGCTATACCCAGCAAGGCCAAAGGAGTGGGGGTGCCTGAGTCCTTTGAAGCTCACATCGTGTCATCATGTGCTTCAGATGCTCAAGAGGGAGCTAATGCCCTATTGGATTTCAATCTTGCTTTAGTACAATCT